AAAGGGTAAAAGTGTCAAAAATTGCCGGTAATTAGGACTTTACTGTCAAAAAAATAAAGTTTAGGACTTTTTGTGAAATCGATGAAAATATTGGGACTTTAGTGTATATATCCCATTTAAATATGTAGTTCACTATTTAGGGAATGTCTTGTGTTATAAGGTCGTGAAGGAATCATGCACGTCTCTCTTGGCTACCTAATGACGATCCATCTCTCTCTTTCCTTTTTTCGCCCCCATGTCGCCACAAATTACTTGCATCATTGAATTCATTATGTTTTTAATTAGAATGTTATTTTTTGAAACAAAACGGAAAAAACTTAACAACCGAGAAAAGACCATCATAAGAACCTTCCACAAAATTAATTACGAGCCAATATAAGGAAAAAGTTTGGTAGGATTTGGTCAAGACAACAAAAAGGAAAAAGTGAATATTGTCATTAAATACATCAAATATGAGAAACTAAAAACTATTGGTTAAGAATTTATGATAACATGTGAGAATATCTTGATGAATTATTGAAGGCGATGTTAGAGTTGTTTGATAATGTTATAAAAGATTATGTTCAAGTTAAACGTAAGATATTTTTCAATATGCTTAAAAATGCACCTTAGCACACGACTAGAATTTTCTCTATCATCTTTCTCTACCCATTGAAGAGTTATCACTCTTCAACTTCATCCTTAAGAAACTTGAAATATTTTTCACTCTCATCGTTTGACATTGTTCCTTCCTAGTACAATCTACACAAATAGGCCAAAATGTTCTGTGTATAAAAATATGACTCTTCAAGGGTCATTATTACAAGGTTTGGGAATGGTATGCAGTAGAAAAAAAAACATCGAAAATGATAGCCACCAATAGATCAATCATTATTGTTATCATTAAGAACTTCGATAAACAGTCATAAACACAATAACAAATATGTGGGGAACAATAATAACAAAAGGGTTTAACGTGGTTCATTTGACAAAGTAATCAAGCTATGTCCATACATAAACTAGAGATTTTTTAATAATCAATGATACACATACTTTTGGCATTAAGATTACAACCATATTGGGAGATCAATTTATATTCAACGTTTGACCTAATTACTTACTTCTAGACCGGGGCTCGTAGATCTATGACATCAATGACATAAGTTGACCTATGATGGAAGACTTGCTCCACAAGTTACTAGGCCAAAACAAAGTTTAGAATCTGGGTCTGCTTCGATGATTGGCTTTTCTACCAAGTTTTCAATGACACTTCTTAACTTCGCCCGAAGATCTACTTCTTGGTTGCGCTTCTGTCTTCGTCTGTAGCTTCGCATAGAATCACTATTTAACATGTAACATCCAAAAATTTTACGCCAAATTTAAACTTTTCAAGCATAAATAAAACCCAATATTATTGTTTACAAAAATGTTTTCAATTCATTATTCAATCAGAGTGTCCCAAAAGCCAGATCATAAGGATGAGGAGCGGTACGGTCACGCCTTCGCCTTGCCATGAACTCCTGAAGTACCTAAAACAATAAACTGAAAACTGTAAGCCCGAGGGCTTAGTGAGCTACCCCCCAAAATACCAATACCACATTGATAATACCATATCCGTAATAATCAATCAATCAACATGGATATTGGGCCATCGGCCTGACTGGACCGCCCTACAGGCCT